CAGTGACCAAGCAGTGGAGCATTCTTGATGCAAGATCAAGGGAATGGACTGCAACCAATCGCTTACCTAAGTAAGAAACTGCACGGGGCAGAACTAAACTACCCGATACACGACAAAGAGGCCCTGGCCATCATCATCGCCTTCAAAGCGTGGAGATGCTATCTCGAAGGACGAAGAACAACCGTCTACACTGACCACTGCAGCCTGAAATATTTGAAGACACAACCCAACCTTTCCAGGCGGCAGGTCCGGTGGATCGACTTCCTCGAGACACACTTCCACTACGACATCGTGTACAAGCCCGGTCACAAGAACAAAGCAGACGCTCTTAGCCGGCCTGCCCACGTTGCCGCTATTCAGGTCGAAGGGATGAATCCACTACTCAAGGGACTCTTCACACACGGGTACGCCACCGACCCGAAATTCCCTTGGCAGAAAAGCGACATCTGCTACAGTGGGACAGTGACATCGCGTACCGGAAAGGATCAACGAAAGTCTGGGTACCCAATTACCCTCCTTTGCGCCAGTTACTACTCGAAGAATACCACGACGTCCTCTACGCCGGACACTTCGGTAGCAACAAGACGCTGACCGGTATCGCAAAAGCACTACTACTGGCCCCACTTAGCAGAAATGGTCCAGAAATTCGTCACCGTCGTGTGATACATGTCAGCGGATGAAGAGCAGCAAGCAGAAGAAGGCGGGACACTGGCAGCCTCTTCCTGTCCCAGAACAAACCATGGCAAGTGGTTAGCCTGGACTTCATCACCGGGTTACCACCTACCTCCAGCGGTCATGACGCCATCCTTGTCGTCATTGACAAGTTCTCCAAAATGGGACACTTCATCCCGACACACACGACAGCACGCACCGAAGAAGCAGCACAACTCTTCGTTCGATACATGATCTCACAGCATGGCATTCCAACCACACTCATCTCCGACCGAGACCCTAAGTTCACCAGCAAGTTCTGGAAGGAACTTATGTCTCTCCTCGGGACCAAACTCGCCATGTCATCCGCTTACCATCCGCAGACAGACGGACAGACCGAGCGCCCTCAACCAAATTGTTGAGCAACTCCTCCGAGCAGCCTGCAAGGACGAGATCTCCAAATGGGACTTGCACCTGCCCGTACTAGAGTTTGCTTACAACAATGCTACACATGCCGCTACTGGACAGACGCCGTTCTTCCTCTGCTACGGACGCCACCCACTCACACCACAAAAACCGACAGCATCAGCTACAGTCCAACCCGCACATGATTTCATCACAACCATGCATCAGCTTTGGGATCGGACCCACAAGCGCCCTCCTCGACATTCAACAGCAACAGAAGCGCCAAGCCGATCGCCATCGCAACGATCACACCATCACGGTGGGAGACCAGGTGCTTCTTGACACCCGCAACCTGGACATCAGCCATCTCCCATCTAAACTTCGACCTCGCTTCTGCGGCCTTTTCTCGTTGAAGCACAGGTCACTCCTGTTACCTTCCGCTTACGCCTGGCAGCTACCTGGAAGATTCACAAGGCCTTCCACGTCCAACTTCTGAAGCCCTATCAGGACCCAAACACGATCTTCGTTGGAGGCCAACCGCCGCCGCCACCGCCCGTCCTCGTCCAGAATGAACCCGAGTACGAGGTCGAGTCCGTGCTCGCACACCGCCGTCGTCGGAATGGCACCGTGGAGCTTCTCATCCGTTGGAAGGGTTATGATCCTTCTGAGGACAGCTGGGTACCTGAGTCTGACATGGGTAACGCCCGTCGTCCTCTGCATGACTACCTTGTCAAGCAGGGTGTTACTTCTACCACCCAGCTTTGAGGGGGGGAAGTGTGAGAGTACGACCTCGTTACACCACTTGGCCTTTTCTTATTTCCTTCCTTTTTCCTTTCTCTTTTATTCCATCTCATTTGGTTTCCTATTCTTCATTTCTCCATTAACCTTTGGTTTATCCTGCTATTATAATTATATCACCGACCAGGCTTGGGATGTACTGGTGCGCTCTATCTAGCGTAATCCTGTTGTAATCCCTTAAAGCCAATAGCCTCGCGTGGCTATACGCAGGGTGATTCTATCTTCTAGAAGGGTCTATTCCCCTAGGATAAGATAAACCTGGTTACCTGATGTACTATGGAAGTATAAAAGCGCCTTGTACTGATCGATAGTGCAACCTTTCCTCGACACATTCGATCCTGTGACACTTGTATACCAGTTTGTGTAAAACGCGGACGGTTTGAGATGACACCTGAGAAGTTGTGTTCTGGTCCCTGTTCCCCCCCAACCTTCTTCAGGTGTTACTCGGATTGCTGCTTCGGAGACAACTGGCATGGGCTGCTGTTGACGATGGCGTTCGTAATCAAGAACCACATTGCGAACTTCCTCGGAGTCGGCTTCGTTGAGTGGGATAAATTCCGCAGTTCCGGCTGACGTGGTTGGCACGGGGATGTCTGTGGCAGCTTCGGAGGACTCAGCCACGGATTCATCCTGTACATTTGCTTCGGCGTCGTCGGAAGCGAAGGCACGGGATCCTTCGAATAGTCTGCTCAGATTGGCAGCTGCAGCCTTGTGAGCACGAAAAACAGCTAAGGTGAGTCGTTTGTAGAAAAGACAATCACGTGCTGGTACGATTTGACTCGTGCGAAGATCCATAATTTTCCACGCGTAAAACTGCTTCTCGATGCCAAGATGTATCCCCCACTTAGCCCGTTCTGAAAAAATTCCAAGTGTTGCTGTCGGAGGTCGATATTGAACGATGCACCCGAAAAATCTTAAAGTTTTGTGTTTCCAACTATTTTTGTCCACGGCAGGTGTGGTGAAGAAAATTCCGGAACTGAAGTTGTCGACAGCAAGTTGTGCAGAAGAACTGCATGGTCCAAAGCGTAAGTCCAAAAATGGGGTGGCAATGCTGCCTGAGTCAACAAGACCCGCAACTTTTCTTGCAATGTCCTGTTCATCCTTTCTGCTACCCCCATCTGATGATGCTGATATGGTAGAGACGTTTTGCCCTTGATGCCGAGGGTTTGAAGGTAGTCAGTGAAGCTTGTGTTTGTGTACTCTCCTGCTCCGTCACTCTGAAACTCTTGTTACTTTTCCCCCGATTCTCTTTCAGCCACCGCGAGCCACGCGACAAAGATAGAGTGAGCCATATGCCGAGCTGGGATGTTTACCATCCCGACGTATTGAGTAGCCTCGATAAAGGAGATCATGTATAACTCCCCCTTAGGTCCTGCTTCCGGTAAGTTGAGTATGTCGATGTAAGCCTTCTGCATAATTTTGTAGCGAGTTGAACCCGGAAAGTGACTTGGAAAGGGTTCGTGTGGAAGATTTGCAGTTGTGCACGTAGTGCAGACTGCTGTTCTTGACGACGGCTTCATCTCAGTTCCATCCGGTAAGAGTAAACTATTTTTGTCAAGAACTGAAGCTCGGATAGTATGGTTAAGGATTCCCGGTGAAGGATGTCCTAACCTTTGATGCCAAGTATCTTCTGTTGCTTGATGTCCTGTTGATCGCAGATAAAAATCGGCGTTAGTATAAAAGGAAGAAACGAGGAAAGAAGAAAACGATGGTGATTCGTCGAGTTGGCCGGGAACGAAGCGATTAAGAGGTAACTTCGTGGTTTTTATTTCCACGGCAAGAACTTCTTCCGGTTGAAGAAATAATTCCCCTCCCTCAATTTCTGTGTCTTGTGAATCTGCTGCAGGTTGACCGATGAGAATCCCTGTTTCTGCTTCACCGCTATTCTGCTGCTCTGCTTCCTCTGCTTCACTGCTGCTGCTGGGTCCCCAAGGTGTTGTAGGTTTGTTGTCAAGTTGTTGTAAAGTTTTGTAGTCATTCCTCCATGCTGATGTATCTTCCTCGGCTGTGTTTGTTGGCCAGGAATCAAGAGCCGTGATAACCGCGGCTGCTGTTCGAGATCGTGTTGGAACTGCAATTGCACAGAAGTCGATGTGAACGTTCTGAAAATCAGTTTCTTCAAGATGTTGCCAAGGTCCAAGAGATAACACTCTCTCAGAAGATCCAGTAGTTCCTTGCGACTCGAATTGAAGAACGGAGACCCATACTAAGTGGCGGCTCTCCGGATGTAAGTGTTTGAATTATTATGATAAAGTTCTTGGTCCATTGTCTCACAGTTGCCTTGTGTCCTTATCTTATGTCGCAGGAGTTGAGCCGTTGAAAGAAGATTAAAGCCAAGTCCCTGGATGATAAGGACATTCGTAACGTGTAAGGAAAATCCTGTATCCACGGAATCCAACATGACGCTGCCAATTGACTTTGCCATTATTGTTTGTCCATTTGCGACTGTGACAGGTACTAGACGTCGAAGCAGATGCTGATGAGTAATGAAGAGCGTCTCGGCAGAGCACATATGTTGTCCACAACAACTGTCAAGATACCAAGTGTTCGGTCCTGCAATAACCCGAGCAAGGTTAGCATATGCTTGAGGTAAAACCATGTTCTCAGGTTGCTTGATAGAGCTTTCGTCATCGTCGTCGTCGAAATCCGAGTCTGTTGCATGAACTGTTGTAACGCAGCTGAAAACTTGTTTTCCTGATGTTGCAGGAGTTGTTGTCGATGGATTCGGCTTCACGGGTTGCTTCAATTGCTGCGACTGCTGCTGTCCACCTCTTTTTCTATCAGCTTCAAGCTTGTTGCAAAATTTTATACTGTGTCCATCCTTTTTGCAGTAGTGGCAGAAGTATTTATTGACGCGTTTCGTAGGCGTTGAATAAAAGCTGATGTTGACTGCTCCTTTCTTGTTACGTGCTGTTTGCAGGTCAATATCTTGTTGCTCTGCTTGAAGGATGGAGCAGATTTCTGCTTCCGAAAGATTGGGTTGAAGACGAAGAAGAGATCGACACTGCCGCCATTCTGCTCCAAGACCGGCAAGAAGGACTGTTACAAACATGTCCTTTGGGAAGTATCCGCCACACTTTTCCAATTGGTCACGAAGTGTTCGAGCCCTGTTGACATAATCCGAAACGTTCTCGTTGCCCTGCATCTGTACAGTTGTCAGTTGTGAGAGAATTTTACTCACTGAAATTGTATCCTGTGCCATGGATAATCCCTTCAAATGCTTCAACGCAGATTCTGGTGGAGTCAAACTGGTGTGAAGAGAGCGTATACCAAGCTGCTCTTTCAGCGACAAATTGCGGATAAGGACGGTGTACGCGCTGAGTGAAGCATGAAGAAAACTCTGTTGTTCCATCTGTGTTCCCATAACAGGATACGAATAATCGCCACTGAAGAACGGCCACAATCCAGTGGATTTCGTGAGGAGCTCGAACTCAAAACTCCAGCCGTAGAAGTCAGCGCCATTAAAAGGTACAGTTGTCTTGATCTGTGTATTGCTTAAAATATTCGGTGCTTGAAAGACAGAACCAGTGAGAGAAGTCTGCTGCTGCTACAGAAACTGCTGTTGCGGTTGCTGTTGTTGCTGTTGATGTTGTTGTTGTTGTTGTTGCTGAAACTGTTCTTGCGCTTGCTGCTGTTGTTGAAGAAATTGAAATTGTTGATGTTGAGCGGGTGTAAACGCAAACGAAGAACTGGAGCTTGGAGCGGCTGCAGCTCTTGCATAGCTGGAGCCATAAATGCTCGTTCCACTAAAGGCCGCTGATATTGATGCTGCTACTTGTTGCTGTTGTGTTGCAGGTGCAGAGGACGAAGTCCCCAGTGGATGCTCAGTAGGCAAACCTTGTTGCTGTTACGGCATCCCAATTGAAGAATAAGCAGGTGGAAAGTTTCCAGCTGCAGAGTTCCCTGCTTGACCAGTGTTGACTGTAGGATTTGTATCACCCATAGGTCCAGTTGTTGAGGAACCAGATGATGGGACTAACGATGGTCCAGTCATTTGTAAAATTGACGATATTCAAATTGACAAGAGTCTTAATTCCAGACAGCTCTCATACAATGAAAGAATTTGAAAGGTGGTGCAGGAGACTAAGTATAGAATCTGCAGACACAAGTATTTGAAGTAGAAAGTAATACTGGAAGTACCTCCAGTAACAGCCAGTATTAAGAAGTTGTAACACCAGAGTCAGTCTTACTGCCTTGCGATACTTCAAGACTTAACCAAGGATATTTGCTGGAATGGTAGACTAGTAAGTGTTGACCAGAATTTACTGAAGAACAAGTTGACTATTGAAGTTGTACAAGCTAATTTTATATCTGCTAGAAGTACCTATTCGGTGATGTACCTGTTCGAGCTATTTGCGCTATGCGCTCTAATCGCTACTGAAAAGAGCGTGACTGTTCGTGTGACTGAAACGTCTTGCTGACGTAATCATCCAGACGATCGCTATTTGCTGACGTCATTCTACGGATGCAAACTACAGTGTAACTCGACAACATCTATCGAGACTACTTACAGAAATGCTTACAGCGACGGAAAGTATTGTCCACATGTTTGTGACTTAGAGGAATTTTGCCATTTTAGAGGGTCATGGACATTAAGCCTTAATTTTCTGGTGTGCCTAGTGTATGTAGGTTGGGGTAAGGCTCCACGCCCATGCCTTACATCATACAAGTATAATGATGTTTACAACAAATACTAGAAAATAACAATCTTGGTACATGTGGACAATTATTGCCAGGCGCAAGCAGCAAGTTACATCAACCCCAAACTAGTACCTAATCCACCGCCCTTTTGCCTTAGACACCGCCCTCACCCTCCTGGGCATGCTTTCCACCAGGTGGGTGCACACATCTGCCGGGATCTTCTCCCATTTCTCCTGCACCCGCTCCCAAACGTCCAGCATACCAGTGGGAGGCTTATATGGCTTGGCCAGCTGCCTCTTGAGATGAGCCCATAAATGCTCCATTGGGTTGAGGTCGGGTGAGGAAGACGGCCACTCTAGCACCCCTGAATCTTACTCTCAAAGCCACTCCTGTACGATACGCGACTTGTGCTTCGGGTCGTTGTCATGCTGGAAGATAGTTTTTGAGGGTGTAAGCTGGTAAAGCTCAATCGTACTGTTGAGATCGTCCTGCAGTATACTCAGCGAGAGCAGTCCGTCCACCCTACCATATGTTTTGCTCATGAAACCCACTCCCTTTTACGACATGCGGTCGTAAATTATGAAGCAACCGCCCCCGTGTTTGACGGTCTGCTTGATTTGGTGTCTTTGGAGGGCAGTCCCTTCGTGAACGCAGGCGTATGAGAGTCAGTCGGATGCAAGACGATCAATCTTGGTCTCATCCGCACAGATGACTCGCTTCTAGTCGTCAACCGTCCAGTCTGCGTGGGCACGCGCCCATTCCAGCCTATCGCGTATGTTTTTCCGAGAGTGTCGCGGCTTCTTGGGATGCTTGATTGCGACAAGTCGGCTCCCATTCAAAGCGTTACGCAATGTCTTAGGATGCAACATGATGCCGTGCTGCTTCTCAACGATTTTCGCCACGTGAGCGGAGATTTCTGCCTCCTCGAGGGTAATCGACCGAACTATGCCGCGGCGAACTCTCTCTGTCACTAAGCGAGGGCGACCGGCTGAGGGCATCGTAGGACGCACGTCATCGCGGCTAGACTCTACAATCGCCTTGATGGGCCGAACTCTTCCCTATGGCTAGCTGTTTAGCGATTCAACGATTGCTCTACCCCCTCCGCAACAAGGGAATGATCTATGCGTAGAGCGCCTCATCTAACGGTTTCATGACGGCCTAATCATCGCAGCGGTCCTAGCCTATCTCCTGACTACTCGATAGTCGCGAGGGCAAGTAAGAAGAAATAGCGAGGTTAGGAAATAGATCTACTACGCTGCTTGGCCTAAACTGTCCGGATGCATCCACGCGGACGAAATCTCGTCCTCGGTAAAAAATCGACCCCTATAAAACTGAAACCAGCATCCGTCACATACAATACAGTACTACTTTACATCCAACCCCGTAATTTGATTCGTAACTAAACAAAGAAGGCACCAAACCAGTACGAGAAATGTTTTAAGGCAATTATCCGGGCAATAATTTCCGTCGCTGTAAGTACGATTTTATCACAACACTTGGGACATGTTTCTGGCTGAGGGACTTAGCCGAATGGGTTGCAGGGGGTGCTTGGTAGGAATGTCTCTGGTTGTAGGGACTTAGCCGAAATTCCTGGGTTCGGCCATGGTGTTAACGTAGAAACGAATGAATTACTAGGAAGAGAAACATAGAACAAATACCAGTTGGTTGTACTCACTAGAAGCACACACCTAGTCTAGCCTATAACTTCTACATAGATAATATGTATAAGTTGACACACCCCCTAGGCTAGAAAAGGGGTGGAGCTAAGCAAGAAGCACACAGCCCAGGGTGGCACTACTAGTCCAACCACTGAGACAGGGGTCTGGAGACCAGTCAGCAAGAGTACAAACAAGACTAAAACCAACCAGGGCGGCACTACTAGTCCAGCCACTGGAGGTAAGGCCACAAGGCCAGTCAGACAGGTATATATATAGTAGAGAGTACACAATCAGGGTCCTAACAAGTGAGAAGCTACAGGAACAAGACCAAGCTGTACACAGTGCCGCTGATGATCTCTAGGCGCAAGCGCCTTAGTAAAGATATCAGCTGTGTTGGCACCGGAGGCCAAGTGAACGACGCGGGCCTGGCGACGCTGCTGTAGCTCGCGCAGGAGGAAGTACCGCAGCTGGATATGCTTCGCCCGGCCCTCAAGTCGAGGCTCCTGACACAGGAGAATCATGGCCCTGTTGTCAGCGTACAGGACCGGGGCAGAACTAGGCCGCTCACCTAAGTCAGTGAGCAAGAAGGTCAGCCAGCGGAGCTCCTGTGCCGCCATGGCACCAGCGTAGATCTCAGCCTCACAGCTGGACTGAGCAACAGACGACGAGCGAGTGGATCTCCAAGAGATAGCACCCGAACCAAGGCTGAAACAGTAGCCCTGAGACGACCTAAGAGTCTCAGAGTCGTCTGCCCAAGAAGCATCTGTGTGCCCAGTGAGGACCACTGGCCTGCGTCCTCCTAGCACTAGCCCCATGCCCGATGTACTTGCTAGATATCGCAAAACCCTCTTAGCGGCCGACCAGTGCTGAGGTCGGTGTCTGCCAGTGGCCACAAAGCGAGCCAGGATGCTGAGAGGGTATGCAAGATCTGGGCGAGTGCAAGTCATCAGGTACATGAGGCAACCCACCAGCTCTGCGTAGGGGCCACTGGGCTCTACTGGCTCCTCAGGAACAGGAGCGGAGAGCCCATGGTCTACTGGAAGAGGTGTGGGCTGTGCGGAGGAGAACTGAAGACCGAACCTTTGAAGAACCTGACGCACCAGGTGTGACTGTGTCAGAGTGATGGTGCGTGCTGCTCTGTCCCTAGAGATCTGCAGGCCAAGATAGCGACGCAGCTCTCCAAGGTCAGTGCAGGTGTGTCTCTTCAGCAGCTCGGCCTTCACAGAGGCCAGTGCGTCCCTGTCAGCAGTAGCAAAGACCAGGTCGTCTACGTAGACAAGGATGTAGAACGGAGTCTGGCCGGAACGCACAAAAAGCGACGGGTCAGCAGAGGACGGAAAGAACTGCAGGTCTGCTAACGTGGCCCGCAGCGTGTCGTGCCACTTGCGAGGAGCCTGACGCAGGCCGTAGACCGGGCGCCTGAGAAGCCACTGGGTCCCAGGGGGGAAGGTACCAGTGAAGCCCTGTGGTCGGCGCAGGTAGACCTGCTCGTGTAGGCTGCCCTGAAGAAAGGCAGTAGAGAAGTCGAGGGAGTGAAGCTCGTAGTCGCGCTGTGCTGCTACGTGTAGCAGCGCCCGAAGCGTGGTCATCTTCGGGGTCGGGGCGAAGGTCTGAAAGAAGTCAACCCCCTCACGCTGACTGAAGCCTCTGGCCACGTAGCGCGCCTTGAAGACAGGCGGCTCTCCAGGGGGGCGCTTCACCTTGAAGAGCCACCGACCATCGACTACGTTCACCCCAGGCGGGGGAACTGCGTCGACGTAAGTGCCGGTGGACCTCCAAGATGCCATCTCCTGCTCCATGGCAGCTATCCACTGAGAGGCCCAAGGTCCCGAGGTGGCCTCAGCGTAAGTGCGAGGGGTCGGGATGTCGAAGGCGTCTGGGTCACCCTCAGGGACTAACAGCATGGAGCAGAGATGGGGAGTAGCCTCGGAAAGGAAAGCAAGCTCGTACTGCCTGTCCTCTAGGACGTCACTGCCAAGGGCAGGAGCACCCCCGACGGACGGAGGACGGGCAGGGTCAGAGACCAGAGCGGTAGCGTAGTCAAGGCGGCGGGTAGAGGCGAAGTCAGCGACAGCAGCGACAAGCGCGTCAAGGCGCGAGACCGGAACAGAAGGGTCGGTAACAAGAGAGGCAAGAACCCGAGGGACAAGGGGACGAGCGGCACGGAGGTAGTCAGAGAACGGAGGAGGTGCAACAGCAAGCGACGAGGGAGGAGGTGACGGGAGGAGGGGAGGACGAGACGAGAGGGAACGGAGCAACATAGGGTGGGAGGGCAGGACAGGAGAGACGGGACGGGCACGTGAGGGACGACGAGACCAAACGTGGGACGGAGGTGTAGGGTCAGGAGACAGCGGAGGGGACACAGGAGGGAAACGAGGAGGAAGACGGGCCGGAGACGAGTCCGGCGGCGGGAACACAGGACCGTAGACAGGAAGGTCAGCAGGCGGTGGGGGAGACACCGGCGAGCGGTCAGGGGAGGGAAGGCCGAGCAGACGGAGAGCGGAGACCGGCGGCGACGGCTGCTGGGGCTGCTGCGGCGGCTTTGCCGCGACCCTCGGACCGGCAGAACTCTCAACGGCAGCACCCCCAGAACCAACACCCCAGAGCGAGAACCCCTCCAACACCAGCGGCGGCCCCCCAGAAGCGCAGGACGAACACCCTCCTCACGCAGCACCCCAGGGGCCAAGGCGGCAGCGGCGGCGGCGGCGACGGCGGGCGCGGCTGCGGCGGCGGCGCGGGGGGCGGGGGCGCTGGACAGGGGGCGGAGGCAGGGAAGGGGGACGCGGCAAGGACGGACCGGGGGTACCACCAGAGTCAGCAGACTCCTCAACGGGGACAACCGACGGGAGGGGAGTGACGTGGGAGACACCAGACGGGGCAGGACGAGGCGGGAGAGGGCAGGGGCTACCGGGGGAGAGGGAGCAAGGAAAAGGGGGGCAACTGGGAGACCTCGGTGAGGGAAGCGGCGGTAGAAGGAGACGGACTCGTCAAAGGTGACGTCACGAGAGTGGAGGAAGCGGTGAGACGGCGGGTGGTAGAAAAGCCAGTCAGACGAGTCCAGGGGGAAACCGAGGAAGACACAGGGGACAGTGCGGGCAGTGAGCTTGTCCGTGCCAGAGGCACGAACGTGAGCAAGGCAGCCCCAGACGTGGAACGCAGACGCGTCACCGGGGGACCCGGTCCAAAGGAGGGTCGGCGAAACCTGCGGCCGCTGGGAGCGTGGCCACAGGTTAAGCTGGTGAGCCGCGTAGCGAACAGCGAACGGCCACAGAAAATGGGGGGCATCGGCATGGATCATGGAGGTACGGGCGACCTCCATGACCAAGCCGATGCGGCGCTCAGCAACCCCATTCTGCTGTGGCGAGTCCGGCAACGTGTACGACTGGGTGATGCCCTCCGCACGACAGAACTGTCCAAGCCGACCAGAGGCGAACTCGCCGCCACGGTCGGAGTGGAGACACAACACGGGGAGACCGCGGTGGAGACGCGCAGCACAACCCACGGGAGAAGAACGTCGGGCACGTCGGCCTTCCGCTCCAGGGGAAACACCGTGGTGTAGCGCGTGTAGTCGTCGACGAGCACAAGGAAGTAGCGCTCACCGCGCGGTCCGGGGACGGGGGCAGGGCCCCAAACGTCCAAGTGCAGGGTCTGAAGGGGGGCAGTAGCAGGACGCAGCGAGGAGGAGTGAGGAGCACGGCGGAGCCGACCCTCGACGCAAGGCGTGCACGGTGGCGCAGTCGAGGGGGAGGGCAGGGAGCGACGCGGGGAGACCTAAGACAAGACCGTGCTGGGACATGTGACGCAGACGGGGAGAGCAGGGTGACCTAAGCGGTGGTGCCAGAGAAGGGACGGGTGAGTGAGGGACCGACACGAGCAAGCTGCAGCGACCTGGGAGGACGCACCAACCGGGGGGGAAGCGGTGTGTAGGGTAAACAGACCGGACACCGGGTCCCGGGGGAACGTCGCAAGGGGGAACCTGAGACAGCCTCAGAACAGACAGCGAACCGCTCGTGCCCGGGGAACGTGGTGGTGACGCCGAGGTCCTGAAGCCGACACCAACCAGGTTCCTGGAGAACGAGGGAACGTGGAGGCCAGTAAGGGAGCCCGAGGGAACTGCGGACAGGGAAGGGACGTAGAACTGCGCGCGACGACCGGACCCGCAGAGGGGTCAGCGAGAGAGACAACAGCAGGTGCAGCAAGCGGCGTGAGCGTGGAACGGTCGCGGAAGAAGCAGGCAGAAGCACCAGAGTCGAGAGTGAAGGACAGCGACGCAGTGGCGGAGGCCGGGACGGAGCCGGTGCAGACTAGACTAGGCAACCTAGGCAGTCCTACGCCTGTCGCAGCAGGGGAAGCTAAGCTACACAAGGGTGAAACACCTAAACTAGAGTACACAGGGTAGTAAGATCCATCAACACTAGAAGCGTCAGCATACAAAGCATGCAAAGCAGCACCTATCTGATCCATGTCTAACTCAAAGATCGGCACGCCCTGGCGGAGCAGGCTGTGCCAGTCAGGGAGGTCCGGGGCCGGGCCAAAGCGACGACGAAAAAGATCGTCGAGGCGGCGGAAACAGCGGGCGGTCGGGTGCGGGCGGCGGCACAGAGTGCCGCGGAGAGGCCCGGTCTGAAGCTGGTACTGGCAGGTCACAGCACTGGAGCCGCTGGTAGACGCCAAGCTGCGCGGGCCGCCACCACGGCCACCGCCTCCGGAGGTGCCGGGCCAACCAGGCGGGAGACGAGCCCACGGCTGCGGCGGGTGCTGCTGGGACGGCGGCTGCGGCTGGGGCTGGTCCTGCTGCTGCTGGGACTGCTGCTCCTGCCCACCGGTGGTAGTCCCCTCAGGCGGACTACCGTCACCACCACCACGACCACTACCACCTGCGTCACCACCCCTACCTCCCTGGCGGCCACGGCCACCGCGACGCGAGCGCTGCTGCGGGTGGACAGCAGCAGCCGTCTCGGTAAGAGGGGTCGCCGTGGCGACCGCAGCCGAAACGTCAGTGAACGTGCACGGGGATGGGGCACACCGTGAAAGATAGAGACTGCCGGCGCACCGCTCGACTGAGCGATAGTGCGCTGGCGAGTCTCGATCTCAGTGAGGGTGTCGACAAAGGCGGTCAGGGTGAGGTCACCCGGGTGCTGGCTAAGAAAGTGGTCGCGAGCACTAGCGAGGCGGTCTGGCAGGCGCATAGCGATAAAATAGAGCGTCATGCAGAAAGGAGGGGGAGCGCAGTGAGCTGGGCAGCAGTGCTGGCAGTGCGATAGCGAGTCTCTAGGGCACGCAAATGAGTGGCAAAATCTGCGACAGTAGGGAAGGCAGCCAGGTCTGGGAACAGCATCGGAAAGAGCAAGCGGCCAGCAGAAGCGGAGGCAGGGGTGGAATAGCGAGCAATAACGGCGTCTAAATAAGCTTTGGCCGTTTCAACAGTAGCAAAACGCGAGCGCTCAGACACAGGGAGGGCGTGACTAATAGCAACCTGAGCTACTGCATCGCGTGAGTCCCAGACCGCACAGGCAGCGCAGCAGTAGAGAAAGCCTCACGGTCATCAGAGGAGGGGTCAGCAGGGAGGGGAGTAGGTGCAGGGGGACGGGGGAGCAAGCCATCAGCATGGACAACCAGAGAGTGGCCATCCTGGCGCTGACCTGTAAGCTGGCGGCGAAGATCGGAGAGCCAGGCGGCGAAGTCAACCGCGTGGCCCTCAGCGTCCAGGCGGAGCACAAAGTCAGCCATCGTGCAGGGTCAGCGGCACAGCTCCTCAGCGACACAGCACAGCAGCACAGCTCCTCAGCGGCACAGGAGCACAGCGGCGCGGGGACACGGCGGCAGCACTCTCCAGTAGGGCAGCAGCTAGGCGTCCCAGCGCAGGCAAGCAGAAGACACAGGGCCCGAGAGGACACGGCAGGCCGAGCAGGGGAGGCGGGCAGGTGCTCTGGGGCCGGGCTGGTGCTGGGAGGGGCCAGGCTGGTGCTGCTGGGGCCGGTCGGGCACGAGGAGGGGCCGGGCAGCGCTGAGGAGAGGCCGGGCGGCGCACTAGGAAGGGGCCGGGCGGCACTAGGAGGAGGCCGAGCGGCACTAGGAGGAGGCCAGGCGGGCGAGCGCTAACAGCAGGCGCGACAGGGGCCAGCGGGCGCGACGGGGCCTAAGGGGCGCGACGGGGCCCAGCGGGCACGACGGGGCCCAGGGGGGGCGCGACGGGGCCGAGGAGGCGCGACGGGGACCAGCGGGCACGACGGGGCCCAGGGGGCCGCGACGGGGCCTAACGGGCGCGACGGGGCCCAGGGGGGCGCGACGGGGCCTAGCAGGCGCGACGGGGCCTAGGAAGCGCGAAGGGGCCCAGCGGGCGCGACGGGGCCTAGGAGGCGCGACGGGCCAGCGGGCGCGACGGGCCCAGAGGGGGCGCGACGGGGCCTAGGAGGCGCGACGGGCCCGGGGCACGACAGGGCCTAGGAGGGGCGCGACGGGGCCGAACGGGCGCGACGGGGCCGAGGGGGCGCGACGGGGCTTAGGAGGCGCGACGATGCCTAGGAGGCACGACGGGGCTCAGCGGGCTCGACGGGGCCCATGGGGGGCGCGACGGGGCCTAGGAGGCGCAACGGGGCCCAGCGGGGGCGCGTTAGGGCCTAGGGGTCGCGACGGGCCCAGCGGGCGCGACGGGGCCCAGGGGGAGCGCGACGGGGCCTAGGAGCGCGACGGGGCCCAGCGGGCGACGGGGCCTAACGAGCGCGACGGGCCCAGGGGGGGCGCGACGGGGCCTAGGGGGCGCGACGGGGCCTAGGAGGCGCGACGGGCGGAAGCGGTAGGCGGGGGGATCCTAACCTAAGCGTGATACCATGTTAACGTAGAAACGAATGAATTACTAGGAAGGAAACTAGAACAAATACTAGTTGGTTGTACTCACTAGAAGCACATACCTCAGTCTAGCCTATAACTTCTACATAGATAATATGTATAAGTTGACAACAGGGACCTCTACAATAGCAACGCTGTACAAACAGAGTTCACTAAAACAAAAGCCCTGAAATTTCAGGGTTGTGTAAAAAAAAAATCCTAGCCCATCAGGGTTGATACCAAAAAAACCTCTGAAAAAAACCCTGAATCAGGGAAATTTGCCTGAAATCTGAGGCCCTGCTATCTAGCCTATAACTTCTTCATAACAACATATGTATAAGTTGATACACACCCTAGGCTAGATAAAGGGAAGTGCTGAGCAAGGAACATCCAGCTCAGGGCAGCATTATTAGTCCAACCTCTGAGGCAGGGGTCCGAAGACCAGTCGGCAAGAGTACAAACAAGACAAGAGCAAACCAGGGCGGCACTTCTAGTTCGACCACGAGAAGAGAAGCCACAAGGCCAGTCTGGAAGGTATAAATATAGAGTACACAATCAAGGTCCTAGCAAGTGAGACTCTACACGAACTAGACCAAGCTGCAAGCAGTGCCGCTGATGATCTTTAGGCGCAAGCGCCTGAATAAAAATATCAGCTGTGTTGGCACCGGAGGCCAAGTGCATTACGCGGGCCTGGTGACACTGCTGGAGCTCGCGCAGGAGGAAGTACCGCAGCTGGATGTGCTTAGCTCTGCCCTCAAGTCGAGGCTCCTGACACAGGAGGATCATGGCCCTGTTGTCAGCGTACAGGACCGGGGCAGAGCTAGGCTGCTCACCTAAGTCGACGAGCAAGAACGTCAGCCAGCGGAGCTCCTGTGCCGCCATGGCACCGACGTAGATCTCGGCCTCACAGCTAGACTGAGCAACAGACGAGGAGCGACTGGACCTCCACGAGATGGCACCCGAGCCAAGGCTCA